ACCGGACCAATGTCGGACAATGTCCGATGTCCGGCGGCTATTTCGAGCCCTGTATATATATATATATATATATATATATATATATATATATATATATATATATATATATATATATATATATATATATATATATATATATATATATATATATATATATATATATATACATATATATATATATATATATATATATATATATATATATATATATATATATATATATATATATATATATATATATATATATATATATATATATATATATATATATATATATATAGTTTTATGAACTTAGACCAAAGTTTTATGAACTTAGTTTTTTAGAACAAGTTTTATGAACTTAGACCAAAGTGGTTTATTCTTATTGAAGGCCCTTCAGGTCTTCATTGAGTATGTGTTTGTGAGTACCACTAGAAATACCAGGTACTTCAGACTATAAAGACCTTATGACATAAATTAAAAATCGACACTGCATGCTGCACAAATGCAATAACTTTTCAGATACCAACTCACTAAAAGAGTATCTTACTGCTTTGTTTGATAAACACACCACAAAAGATTAACTTTAATCAGCGGCAAAAAGCCATTGCAAAGGCAAAAAGCCAAAACAAAACACATGATATAGTTCCAGTAACTCTTCCAGTGGATGATTTTATTAAAAATACTTTACAAGAAAACAGACCAATTAGGATACCATCACAGTATAGCCGAAATTATCAATCAAATTTGCAGCATCAAGAAATAACATTACCAAGTAATCAAATTTTAGTATTACTAGACTTACAAAAATTACAGTTTTTTTTTATTTAAGATACAGAAAAAAATTTAAATTGAAACAAAAATCAAGCAACATTGTACCTATTTGGTTATTTACGATAAAAATAAATAAAATGTAAAAGTGTTTGTATTATATCAGATCATTTGCAACACAATACAAACTCAGTTCATTGCTTCATTTATGAAGTAATAAAACATATAAAAGAGTGGATGCCTTACTTTACCCATTTTAACTAATTTTATTATAGTGATGGCACAGGTTCACAATACAAAAGTTGTCAAAACATATCTAACTAATGTCACCATAAACAAAATCATGAGGTATGTGCAAAATAGCTTTTTTTTGCTACATTAAATAGAAAAAAGGCTTGTGATGGCATTTGGGGCCTGAGTTTTGTAGCAAGAGCCATTTTACAATCACTAACAGATCCTACTTGAAAAGATTAGTGTAGAAGAAATATCAAAGAAATACATTTTATAGTCAATTAGCATATTTTAAAGTATGGTAACTAAATGTAATTTTAAAGTACCGTAATTAAATGTAATTTTAAACTGCGTTAAAAATGTAAACTAATAAAACAAAAAATTACTTATGAAAAATAAAATTTAGCATTTAAAAAATTATATTTCCTTATAATTCAATTCTTAAAACAATCTCATACTTAACATTTTGTTTGTTTGTCACAATTTATTTCTTTATTTTACTTTTTATGTATTTAATGTAGTATTTTAAATAATCAATTACTAATAAAATATTCATAAACACAAACTTACGTGCTTTAATAAATTATAACAAACTTTACACGATATTGTATTAATAAGAAACAAAAAAATTTATATACATCAAGCCTTCCCAGGAAATGCTTGCGGTCACACACCTTGCGCGTCCATGCTTAAAGTAATTTTTTAGAAAACTCTAAAATTTTTACAAGAGTCCAGCTATGTTTTGATCGTACTTGTACAATTCAGTATTCTTTCTCAAACTAATGATTTTAACTCCTTTTCTATCCTTAAAATAACTTTTTCAAACTATAAAATTAATCTTAAAAATACTGGTCTTGGTTAGTAATCTGGTAACTCTGTTATCACTTTGAGAAAATTTATCCTAAATTTATTCTAAATTTTAACATGATAATCAAATAAGTAAATTAATTTGGACGAGTGGAATAGTAAATGGATAAGAAAAATATTAAAATTTATAATTTATGTTTTATATTTTATATTCAGAAATAAAAAAAGTAGAAAAAATTTTAGATCAATTTTTTAGGAACTGTAAAGGATTATTTTTGAATTTAAATTCTTTTTTTCTATGAGTCAATCAAATTGTTTCTTTCTATAAGTATTGCTTATATTTCAAATTGATTTTAAAGCATATTTATTTAAAAGATTCAATGTTTATGTTTATTGTTTAATAATATTTTTTATTACATAATCAACTTGTGCTTTGTGTTGACGAGTCAAATAACTTTTATAACTTGGTATAAGTTATTATATTTACTTATATATTATATTATACCACGACTAAATTTCTTTGATTTTTTTAAATTTATGAATTGAATTTCTTCTTTCGTATTTTCTTCATCCCAGATAGCAAACTCACTAGAAGTTAGAAGTATTATAATAAATTGTAATCTAAATTTAAACACGATAATCAAATTAGTAAATTAATGGGGAAGGGTGGATTAGTGAATGGATTAGAAAAAATTTTACAAATTTTTTAGTTATGGTGTTAAATATTAGGTGAATATTAAGTTTCAAGATAAAATAAGTATGCAAGCTCCCTATTATAACAAATGGCAGTGTTTGATGAAACTGCACTTAGTATTGAGTAATCCGAGGTGATACTGCTGTGCCTATTACAGCAGCTGAAATACAAACACCTAAACCCTGAGATCTAAACCATAAAAACCCAATATTGGTATGTTTGGGCATAAAAAAAACCCAATATTGGTATGTTTGGGCATAAAGACACTTCATACTTCAGACATAAAAACAGACACGCAGCGTAAGGAGAATTGTTTAATTTCAACTTTTTTCGTGCATGTACGTAAAAACGTACTTGTAAGAAAATAATTGGACATAGGGAAAAGGAGGGTTTGGAGGTAAGGGAGAAGTTAAGGCTATTTAAAAACTGAGTTTAGTTCAGGTTTTAAAACTTCTATTTAAATTTCTAGTACTGATTAGGAAATATTTTTTTTTAGGTTTTATTTAATACTTCTATTTAAATTTCTAGTACTGATTAGGAAATATTTTTTTTTAGGTTTTATTTAATACTTCTATTTAAATTTCTAGTACTGATTAGGAAATAGTTTAAATAGTTAAAAATTACTTTGTATTACAATATATAATACAAACTAAAGTACAACAATAACTCTATTTTTTTTGTTTTTAATGCCATTTTTGGCAAATTTTATTGTTCTGATTTTGTAAATTACCCATGAGTACCAACTATATTTTTTTTTAATCACTATAATAAAGTCTATAAAATTAGTAAAAAAAAAAAAATCTTACTAAAACCAGTGTTGATCATAGGTTACTGGTGGTTTGAAGTGGAGGCACATTTTTTTATGTTTTAGCAGCAGCCATTTTTAGACGTCTATATTATTTTACTGAATTGTATCTTATCAGTAAATTTCTAGAAATTTGGAAGCCTACCATGTATAGAAACTAGAAAAATATGTCGTTTTACTTAACAAATTGCAGATTTTGTATATTGACTCATCAAAAATCATCTTTTTATATTTGCTAACAATTTTTTTTAGGTTTTTTAGGCAGCCATTTTGGATAAAATGAAATTCAAAAATTCAATGTCAAAATAAAATTAACTAAAAGGTTTTTAAAAATTTTGTTTTTCTAATATAGAGTTTCAAAGTAGTTTCAAAGTAGTTTCAAAGTATGAACAAAAATGTTTTTGCTACTAAAGTTTTTTTTTTTTAAAAACCAGAAATTTCAAATGACCATATCCCATGAATTACAAAAAAATTTATGCTGAAATTTTAAGGACTTTCTTTTCTGAATGATATAAACCAACCACCAAGCTTCATCAAAATTAGCCTTCTCGTCTGTAGTGGCCTTCTCGGCCTTGAGGAGGTGAATTAAAATAAAAAAATAAAAAAAAAAAAAAATCCGAGGTGGTCCATGTTAAAATTCTAAAATTCTGATCTATTTGGCATTGAATGACCTATATGGGGTTGATCATAAATTATGCCATGCTATGGGAGGGGGGAAGGAAAGGTAGGCAATTTTGGAGATATGAAGGGGGAGGTGATTTTTTATTTTTTTTAGTTTTAAATCTAGAGAAGACTTTCTTTTAATTAAAAGAAATTAAAAAAAATCTAAATTAGAAATTAAAAGAAATTAAAAAAATATCTGACCAAATCAAACCAAAACCAAAACCTTTAGTTGATGTATCTACATGTTGGTTGTAAAATCATTTCCGCCTAAATCTTACTTAGTCAATGTGTACACTCTGTTAACAGAGTAGTTACTGTTGATGGCTGTAACAGTCTATAGGCAGTGCACGTTATGAGCTTTGACTTTATATGGTCTAAGTGCAGAACTTTATTTATTTGGTGCACAAAAGTGCAACAAAAAAGAACTTATGTGCACTATAACTAAAATAATGACAATTATTTTTGCACAAAGTTTTTTTCTGTTAAACATTAAACAGGCTGAAAAGTACTAATTAATTAACTCAAAGAAGCTAAGAAAATTATAAATGTAATTATATTAAAAATGTTGCATAATATTAAAGGGGGAGGGGCAATATAATGTTACTATGCATTACAAGGAGAGAGTAGGGGGTCAAAAAATGTTGAAAATTGTGTGACGCAATTTATGGACCCCTATATGCAGTGAGAATTGTTTGTTTGACTTTAAAAATAAAAGTCTTAAATATTTGAGAAAGTATTGTAATGAAAATGCAACTTGTTAAATATAAAAATATAAAAATAAAAATATAATTACTTGTACAATACTACTGTTAAACCCATTTAATTTTAGAGTAATATTCTTTTTTAAAACTTTCATAAATTTTTTCATGAAATTTTTTTATTTATATTTTAAAGTCGCAAAAAATGTCCACATAATACATAAGCTTTTTCAAAATCTTTTAAAGCTGGGTAGATATTTTACGAACCATTTAAAATTAATTTTTGTATTTTGATGAGTGTTTTAAGGTCCATGAAAAATTAAAAAATATATATATATATATAAAAAAAAAC